TAGCTTATGATTTGACTAATTACATTCACATTATTACTTATATAAAATTATTAGATAAAAAGAAGAGAAAAATTATGAAAATTATAAAAAAAATCTTAAGTTTTGTGTTATTATAGTTGTTAACTTAAACATAAAAAAATTATAAAATATGTAAATTCACTACTTCTTTATTTTTTATTTTATATATCATGTAAAAAAAATTTAGAAAAAAAAATTTATATAAGATTATTTGTAACGGATGAGATATTCGTAAGTATTCGTAAATATCCGCAAATATCTGTTTATTTTCCGGATATCCGTTTTTCCGGATATCCGTATTTTTCCGAAGCAAAGCAAATACCAAAATCAGATATCCGTAACATACGAAGCAAATCACAAATACCTTCGAAAATCCGGATATTCGATCCGCGCCCACCCCTATAGGTAGTACACGAATAAGCCCAAGAAAGAAAGAGAAGGGAACGAACGTCAGGCTGGTTTGAAAAGGAGTATCGAAGTCAAGTCAGTGGCAGGAATTGTAATTTTAGGAGTGTTTTGAGGAGTTATTCGCCCAAGTGAAAATTTTCATAATACGATACCGTTTTGGCTAACATATCTGTTACGCAGCGTCTTCTCTTATCTTCTTCCCCTTCCGCTGGTCTTTGCCTTCAACCCTAACGTTCTGATAGTAAAGATTGAACTTTTTTTTTAAATCAATGGGAGATTTCACCTTTATTAACTGCTAGTTTCTGAGAACGAAAAGAGTTTTGTCTTTCTCTTCTGTTTATCCCGAAAAATTATGTATTGTAACTTGACAAGAAGCCAAGGGTTTCCAATGGCGATTAGGGTTTCCTTACAACAAACCAAACTTAAAAGTTGTTTCCATCTCTCAAAGTCGTCGTCTTTTCACTTAAACCCCCCCAAAGGAAGCGCCTTTGCAGATGTATCGTCTGGGTTTAGCAGAGGTAAGAGTCAAAGGAGTCTTTTAGTTAGTTCTCGTCTTAAAGCTATAGAGATTGGAATGTTAGGGAAGCTTGAAAGCGTTAGAGACTATTCTAGTTTCGATTCGCAGAGATTTGGCAAACGAAGTGGTAGTAGTAGTGGTAGAGGGAGATCTGGATTAGTATCAAAAGCTTTTAGAGAGAAGAGGAGTGATGGAAATGGCCGTGGAGATTCAATTTGGGTGAGGTCTGATGAGAAGCCAGTGGAAGAGAGGAGAGCTAATGGCTCGTCTTGGGAGAAGAAACGAGATGGTAGAGGTAGAAACGAGTATGTTTCTGCTGATAGGAGAAGTAGATTTGGTGGTGATGCAAGAAGGCGAGAATTTTTCCGTGGTAGAAGAGATGATAGAGAAGGAGAAAGCGAGAAAGCTAGTAGTGGAAATTCTATTTGGGTTGCTAATGACAAACCTGACAAAGAGCAAGTGCCTACAGCTAACCGTTCATCTTGGGAGAGACAAGATGGTAGAACTAGAAACCAGAACTCTTTTGGTGAAGGAGAAGATGAAACAGTGAGTTATGCCCATGAAGAAGGGGGAACAGAGCAGATTGAAGAAGAACCAAACGATGCTAGGTGGCCTGAGATCAGGAATAGGTTCAATAGGTATGATGTTAGAAGAGATGAAGGGCGTGGCAATGCAGCATATCAAAACTGGAATAGGCAAGAGAGCTGGGGAAGGAAAACGTGGCAAGAGGCGACCGAGTCAAGCGTGCCTAGGATGGTTGGTGAAGTTGTTTACGGAGTGAGTCCAGTGTTGGCTGCACTCTCTGCTGGGAGACGAGAGTTATACGCTCTCTATGTTCAAGAAGGTTTGGATTTGAGTAGTAACAACAAGAAGAAGAAAGACAAGAAAGGTTTTGAGAAAGTCTTGAAACTCTCTGAGAAGCTTGGGTTAGACATCAAGGAAACTTCCAAGCATGATCTTAACATGGTTTCTGATAACAGACCTCATCAAGGCTTGGTGCTAGATGCTTCACCATTGGAGCTGGTGAAAGTTAAAGAGCTAGATAAGGTTTCATCAGAGGAAGAGAAATACTCTCTTTGGGTAGCTTTAGATGAGGTCACTGATCCGCAGAATTTGGGGGCGATCATAAGGTCTGCTTACTTTTTTGGAGCCACTGGTGTTGTGGTGTGCGCTAAAAACTCAGCTCCGTTGAGTGCAGTTGTGAGTAAAGCAAGTGCTGGATCGCTTGAAGTAATGGAGCTTAGGTACTGCAAAAACATGATGCAGTTCTTGGAAGCTTCTGCTGAGAACGGTTGGCGTGTGGTTGGTGGTTCGGTTTCTCCAAAGGCTGTAGCTTTGAACGAGGTTTTACCTGGTAGGCCGACAATTCTTGTCTTGGGGAATGAAGGAACTGGTTTAAGGCCATTAGTGGAGAGATCATGTACTGATTTAGTTCGGATTAGCGGTAATATGGCTAGCGATGTTGCAGCTACTACAGAGTTTGAAGATGGGGAAGTGGAAGGATTGAGATCTTTTCTAGCTGTGGAGAGCTTGAACGTGAGTGTTGCAGCTGGTTTGTTTCTTCATCACTTGATCGGAAACAAAGCAAATGTTTGATTCCGTGGTGTGAGTTCTTCTAAACAATTTCATTTTTGCAGCAAACTTGCCTCTGTTCTGTACTTGATATTACTTTCTGCTCTCATTCTATGGTTATCTTACGAAAGAGTAGTTGTTATTGATTTATTTTCCGATCATTTCATGGTCTCTAGAAGCCACGTACCGAAGTTCTTATATTGCATTTAGCAAAGTAGAGAGATAGAATTTGTGTCTATAGTCTATACAAAGAAAATCTTCTTTGTATATTGTTTCGGTCTTATTGATTGCTGTTTTGGTCATTTCCTGGTTTTTTATAGTCAGTGTGGTTTGTTTTTTCATTAAAACTTATAGTCAGTATTGCAAAACAAATATTGGTTCGCTTATTTTAAACTTATAGAATGTGAGTGTTGCAGCTGGTTTGTTTCTTCATCATTTGATAGGTAACAAAGCAGATGTTTAACTTTTGTAGTGCAAGTTCTTCACAACAATTTCATTTTTGCAGCAAACTTGGGCTCTGCTCTTTGATTTTACACTCTGCTCTCATTCTATGGTGTTATCTTACGAAGTTTGGTTGTTATTTTATTGGTTTTCTGATAACTTCCTGGTCTTTTATAGTCAGTGTTATTTGTTTTTTCATTGAACTTAGAGTCAGTATATGTCAAACAAATATTGATTTCCATATTGTAAACGCAAAACCAGACGCTAAAGAAAGACGTTCCTACCATTAGCATTTGATTTTACAACTATTTTTGTGAGATTATGAAAAAGCTTTACATTTGAAACTTGATATGTGCTTTGGAGAGTTCATCACAGAAGATATAGGGAAGAGGGAAAGAACTACTTTGAAAAGGAAGCAAAGGGTGAGGTTGTTATTTTGGGGCTATCAATTGTTTGATCATCTTTGATATTGAGACAACACTAAAAAGATGTTTGAGACAATTGTTTCTTTAATTGCTCACATGGCATTTCGTACTAATAATAGTTACGTTTAACTTTGTATGTGTAATCTCTATCTTTATTGTTTTTGTCATGACTTGGCTACCACTATATCCGTGTAAAGCTGGCCCCGGTCCATTTCAGCCTGATAATACTTCAACTAGGTGTGCCTCAGAAATTAAATGAAACAGCTAGGTTCCGTTTACTATAAGAAATGGTTTATAGTCGCATGTTTAACAACACGACCAAGCCAGCTCTCAACCGCTTTATAGAAATAATTGTTGTCAAACAAATCCTTTTTGTAAAGTTTGTACGTTTAAAATCTCCTTTTAGAATTAAGTCCCTAAAACTCTACGAACATTTGCAATTTAAAAGCATTGATATGTTGGTTTCGTCACGTCATATATGCTATTCGTTGCTTATAAAATCATCTGTTGAAGTCAAAATCTTGCGATACACTTTATTTCTTGCACACAAGCAACCCTAGTTACGTACATAAAGCAAACAACGTTTTAGATAAGTTCGAGTGATTGTTTGACCGTGATTCTCCCCGAAAGAAAAACCCAACTTGAATTTATTAGCTTGTTAGATATGAAATTTAGATTTTCAAAATGGTTAAAAGAACAACAACAATACTGATTGAAAAAACAAAAATATTTGTGTTAGGCTTGCAATATAGTATATGTATATTTTATATACTTGAATAAACTAACCTACAAAAGATTTAAACTTATCAACCCAACGATTTCATCTAACCAAAAATCCAGTAATGAAACAAGGCATGTAGTTTTCCCACCAAAGATTGATTTGAAATGAACATAGCAACCGAACACAATCATGTATTTCAAGTCACATCAGTGAAGAAGATGCATAGAATATTCCCAAAAGAATATTAAATTCGCAAAGGTGACCAATGATTAAGTCTTAGAAGTAATAAATTATAAAACACACATGTATCTAAGCTGTCACCCCTTGTGGTACTCTGTTTGAAAAGGACGACATGGTCCCTCTCCTTTCAGATTCGGCATAACATTCTGGCATCTTTGCCGCCAAATTTACTTCTTATTAAGATAACAATATTCCTTATTGAAATGAAGGAATAATCATTTACTTAAATGCAATATGGCTGTAATCTTTTGTTAGTTTTTTTTGTCGACTTTTTGTTAGTTTAATAGTACTATAACTAGGTCATAACCCGTGCCTTGCACGGGGATGAGATTATTATCTTTGTTATTTTATAAAATAAGAAGACATTATGTATGTTAATGTGAACATCGGTTTGGTTATAATTTGACTAACCGAATTCTTTTTCACAGAACTGTTAATTTTAGCACCCTACAAAGACAAGAGTTATAGTCAGAAATTATATGGACACATTAAGCATACTTAAGATTACTAATTTGAAGAGTAAATGATGCCTATGTTTGAGTCGATTAGAACCATCTCAGTCGTTAGACCATCAGTTGCAGAATATTGATTCCACAAATGCGTGATCTTCACCATAATCTTCCATATAGACTTGAACGGTTTCATATCTTACATAGCAGTTATCGCATTCTTTATAAAAGAATGAGTGAAAAAATGTTTAGGTTTTGGGTTTAGCTTATGAGTAAGAAGATGGGAGACATGAGTCTTATATAGGTATAAGAAACCTAATGGAAGTTACGCCGTATCTCCAATAAAAAAATAATGTCAATATTTGTGTCTTGCTCAGCAATTTTCTTTTACCACAAGAATATATATATATATATATATATATATATATATATATATATATATATATATATATATATATATATATATAAATTCAGAATCAGAATTACAAAATCCGATGGTTAACTTGATTTAAATGTCTTAACCAAATTAATAAAGAATTTCGGTTTAAACTTCCACTTGGGAAAAATGATACGAAAGAAACAAATATGTGCATGTTTTATACTTGACATCTTTCTAATACAATCATGCACGTATAGAAACTTATATAACGGAGAGTTGAGTTGGTGCTATGAAAAAATCAATGCTTCCTCTATGTCTAATGTTGAATTCACTGACTTGCATCATTGTCAGTATTCTCCCTGAAAAGAGAGGAAGATTCTTAGGCAAGTTCATGCTATGTTTTCTCCGTATTGCTTCTCCGTGAAAAGAGAGGAAGCTCGTTTTGCAAGTTTCGCTTCATGATCATACAAATGTCTTGTATCCCTGAAGATCGCGAAGAAAATTCTGCAAGTTCATGCTTCTTTGAGGAAATCGACTATGAAATTCATGTTATGGCTTTTCCATATTGCTTTCTTATTGAGAGTTGATGGGAGCTCCGTACAAGAAACTTCCATGTATGTTTTCGTATTGATGGGAGCTCCATAGAAGAAACTTTCATGCTATACATTAAAAAAAAAACTAAACTCCTTCCTAGAAGTTGTACTATCCTCGTGTTGGTCAAACTCCGTGAAGAAACTTTCTTTGTAGTAAAATGCTCTTCGTGAAGATTGTCAGTTTCGAAGGCAATCCTAAGTTTTTGTTAATGGGAGCTCCGTGAAGAAACCGGAAAAGAAGTTTTCATGTTATATCTTCTATCGTATCAAATCACTTAGAAGTTAAGAAAACGTAAAATCCTTCGGAGGTGTTGAACGTTCGTCAAAAGCTAAACTACCATCAATTCTTTCGTCGAGATAATCATGGATAAAGAGGGAGTTTCCTCCACAGGTTCGCCGATAACTCTTGACAGGAAAAAAAGTTTACATTTGACATTACTTGGCAACAACAACATACATCATTTGGCAACATACATATCCATGAGGGATGCTTTCTTCGATTTACTCATCTCGATCTTTTCGAGGATCACATGGCGTAGTTGGTCTCTTTGTTACAGATGAATCATCGCAAGAGAATTGTGAGAAACCGTTAAAAAATCTTTATATGTCAAGACACATAATATGGAAAGTTAGAAAATCTGTTTTATGAATTTGGCAATATTTTTTGTGAGAAGCATTCTGGAAGCGACACGTCAGCATTGTCTCCAATTCAATGTGAACGCATTTAATGCAAAATGCTTCTCTTTTAATATATAAGGGATTTTGGTTACAAAAAATAAAAAAGTTTGTCAAAAAAAAAATTTGTACAAAATTTATATTGCCTTCACAATAAAAAAGTATGCATACAAAAACACTTCTCTTTATAAAAAAACATTTTACCTGTATTACAAAGTGAAGTTTCGTGTTTATATAGTAGATAAAAACATTTAAATGCACATTTTTATATTAATAAACAAGTAAAAATATTATTTCTATACATAGTAAAAAGTTCTATAAATTAATAATATTATAGTTTGATACTCTATAATTTATAAATTTTTAATTTAAATTAAATTTCCTTTTTAAATTTATATATTTTAAATATAATTTGATATAAAGTAAAACAATGATTGTACGATGTTATTTACATATTCTTTAATAATTTCATTTATCTTCTTTTTATTAAATCATTTAATATCAGGACATGTAATAAACAATATATATATGTGTAGATGTAATCTAATAAAATAGCATCAAAATATTATGAAAATTATAAATATTTTTTATTTTGCATGAATAAAAATACTATAATATTTTCTGTTTATATAAATTTAATATATTATAAATTAATTATTAATTTATGACTATATATTTGTAAAAAATTAAAATTATAGTATTATATTATATATTAAATCGATGTATATCACATACTATATTTATGTGTTATTAACTTTGGGACAGAAAATTTTTTTAATTAAGTAGAGTAAGAACAAAAGTCGAGACTGCTAAATTTTGAAACTAACTATTAATCATTTCGTTTCAATTTATTTGTCATTATAGAATAAAATTTACATTTCAAAATAAGTATCGTTTTACGATTTCAATATATAATTTATTAATTTTATATGTTGTTTTATATTTTTATTAATATAAATATGGTTAGATGTTTATAGGTAATGATGTTTTTATTTTGTAAGTGTGTAAAATTAAACTAGGTGTTGTGCCCGCATATGCGGGCATAATTTTGTTACGAATATTTATTATTTTTTGTTTTATTAATTCTAAATAATATTATAAATTATATTTTATAGTTTTAAAAAACCTAAATCAAATAGTAATACAATTTTATATGAATTTTCATCAAAATCTATATGTTTATTATAGTATTGAAAAATATCCACATAATAAAATATTTTTGAAAAATATATTTATATTTTTTCTTAATATTTAATTTTAAATTGCTTTATAACTTACATTTTTATTTTTCATAATAAAAATATTATTTCCAGATAACTGTATAATATTCTATAAGATATCTTATGTTTTAAATATGCATGATTGTGGATAATTATCCTACTAA